CGAAATCTGCTGCACGCAGCTGGTTTCGGCCTCACCGAGGGGCCCATTCCTCGATGCATAGCCGCCTCCGGTACCGGGAGGCGCCGGGAAAATCAGCTACGTGAGCTGATTCTCAAACCCCCCCTTTGCTACCCCCCCCTTTCGCCCGACCCGAATATCCATTCCGATCCAGACCCGTTCATGCTCAGACCCATCAGCACTCCTAGTAACTTTCAGCCCGGCGCACGCACGCTTCAGACCCGTTCACACCCCAGGCCCTCTCGTACTCGGGCTCGCTCACATGCAGACTCACTCGTACGCATATCCAGTCACATTGGGGTGGAAGTACAGTTGCTTGAACTTTCAGATGGGCATCGCGCGGGGCAGACGGGACATGGTGACGCGTTCACTTGTTCGGCATCGGGGCCATGATGGTTTGATTGCCTTCGGCCGCCATGGCCACCCTCATCACGACCAGAGGGACTTTACTGACGACCTCCGAGTGGCTGGTGATGATCACGATGATATTTATGCTGATGATTGCCGCGGTGGTGACATGTCCGAGGTGATCTTCTCATGACGGTGTCTCATGAGCAGTATCATGATTAGGACGACTGGACCCCCATGCCCCCTTACTCTCCTAGCGAAGAGCCGCTGCTGTGGTGGGACAGAATGTGATCCCATCCTTGAGTACGGTGTATTTGTATGCTCCCAGTTCAGGATGAAGCCGGTTCTGTCCGTAAACCAATTTGGTGTGGTCAAGTCCCGCCCCCTGTGAAGTCTCGTCACGCGGTCGAGGAAGTCCTGACCGAAGCATACGTTGTCTAGGAACCTTCTGTTCCCCGGATGCATTCACACGCGTTCACATCCAGCCAGTCCCACCCGAATTCGGACCGACTCATTTCCGCACTCACTTGGAATCGTGCCAGTTTCACGCCCGCAGCATCCATATCATGTTGGCCCACTCGCATTCTGCAACGCAGTCCCAATGCGACTCGCAGTTCGGCTCGCAGATAATCAGTCAGAGAAAAGAAAGCGCTGCATATTATTGGTATGGACTAATACCCGTGTCGAGAAGGTTTCTAATATAATAAACATATATATATATATATGTGTGTGTGTGTATGTGTACAACTGTTCGTGTATATATACAGATATTATACAGCTATGTGCATATCGAGATGCGTATGAACATAGACTTGTATACATCTACATATATATATATATATATATATATATATAGGTGTACATACAAACAAACATACACATACACAGCCATAGATGCATATACATACATGTGCACACGATATATGCACAATTTTGGCATGCAATCAATTAACACGTGCAGGTCTATATACACATCTATGTACACACAAGAAAGAGCGTGTTCTACCGCTGCTGGCGGAAAACCGGAGGGGGTCACTACCGGTTCGACCCCCCCCCCCCTCCGGAAAACCGGGAGGGGTCACTACCGGTTCGAACCCCCCCCCCCCCAGCTCATCATAAAGGGGGGGGGGTCACTACCGGTTCGAACCCCCCCCCCCCCCCCCTCGAAAACCGAGTGGGGGTGCGGACAGTGGTGGGGACGGTGTTGGTGGGGACAGTGGTGAGGGGACAGCGGCGGTGGTGGTGGGGACAGTGGGACAGTGGTGGGGACTGTAGTGGTGGGGACAGTGGTGGGGACAATGGTGGGAACAGGGGGGACAGTGGACAGTGGTGGGGACGGTGGTGGTGGGGACAGTGGTGTGGGGACAGTGGGAATGAGGTGGAAACAGTGGGACAGTGGAGGGTACAATGGTGGTGGGGACAGTGGTGAAGGCGGTGGCGAGGACGGCGGTGGGACAATGGGACAGAGGTACAGTGGGGACAGTGGTGGGGACAGTGGGGACAGGGTGAACAGTGGGACAGCTCAGGGGACAGCGGCGGAGTCAGTGGGACAGGGGGACAGTGGGGATAGTCGGGCAGTGGTTGGGCCGTGGAGACAGTGGAGGGTGGAACCGTGGTGGAACAGTGGTGGGGACAGTGGGGACAGTGCGACAGTGTGGGGGCACTGGTGGGGACACAGTGGGGACAGTGGTGGTGAGGACAGTGGTGCTGGGAACAACAGTGGAGGATGTGATGCGGACGGTGGTAGGGACCGGGAGTCGTTTGCTGGCGGTGAGTGGGGGGGTAGGGAGGGGTTCGAACCGGTAGTGATCCCCCTCCGGTTTTCGAGGGGGGTGGGGGGGTTCGAACCGGTAGTGACCCCCCCCGGTTTTCCGGATCCGGAGGGGGGTGGGGGGGTTCGAACCGGTAGTGACCCCCCCCGGCTTTCGAGGGGGAGGGGGGGGGGGGGGGGGGGGAGGGGGGGGGAGGGGGGGGGGGGGCGGGGGGGTTAGGGAGAGGGGGGGGGTTTGGGGGGGGGGGGGGGGGGGGGGGGGGGTTCAGCAGGGGGGGGGGGGGGGGAGGGGGGGGGTGCGACCCCCGGCTCCAGAGGAAAAGGTTTGCAATTTTCCACAGTAAAGCGGCGGTGGATCACGCTCTCTCTCTCACACACAATCACATAAATATACAGGGTCCATTTCGATCATATCGTTCGATTCGATTACAATCACAATCACACGTCCAGGGTCCATTTCGATCGTATCGTTCCGATCACAATCACACGTCCAGGGTCCACTTCGATCGTATCGTTCCGATTCGATTTCGATTCCAGCTGGCCCGATCCGGCTCGATGCCGATATTCCGATGATCCGATGCGGCCCGATGTTTGCACGGCGTTGTTGTGCATCCTGGCGCAGCCGGACCCGATTCGATTTCGAGTCCGAGATTCGATTTCGATCCCGTGCCGCTGCAGCCCGATCAGATGCTCCTTTCGATTCGACCCGATGCTCGCAGGCCTAGAGATTGACACCAACACCAATTTCGGCGGTGTGCCTCCACCGAGGGAAGCAGATCCCAATTTCGGTGATGGTGGTAATATTCTGGCCTCCAAGGTGGCCGAAGTATCACCACCAACACCGAAAATCTAGGATCACCTTCCCCCTGTGGAGGCAACCCCATGTCTTGGAGTTGGTGCCAATTTCCAGGCCTCCGAGATGCCGACCGATCCTCCCTCCCGCTGCCCCGCCCGGCGGGCGAGAGGCGGCGGGGGCGGCTCCGGGCTCTCGCTCAGCGGGCTCTCGCCGGCGAACCTCGTCCGGCAGCTCGGCTCCCGGCCGGTGACCGAGCTGGTGGCGGAGCAGACGCGGAGCTCCGCCACGACGCAAAGCGCACCGGGGCATCGGGCAGCGAGACTCGGGTTGTTTTTCCTGATGTTCAGCCTCTCTCTGGACGCCCGATATGGGCACAGAAGTGATGGGTGCGATGCCCAACAGCAGTTCCTGTTCATTTTGAACAGGACTCGCTGTCCACGCCGCCGCGGCCTTTGTCCACTCGAGGCAGAAGGCCGCCTGCCCAACAGCGGCCGCTGATGGTTTGGGACAGCAGTTGTTGTTGGGCATTGGCGCATTCTTTCCGTGCCCATTTCGGACGTCCAAATCCTGGTGTTCCGCCTCTCGGGGCCCTCAGCGGCGGGTCTCTGGACCGTGGAAAGACGGCTCGGGGTGAGCAGCGGGTGCCAGGGGAGTGGTCGAGAGATTTGGGGGCCCGCGTCTCGGAGGAGTCGGGACGCCGAATGTCTGGGCATGCATCAGAGGAGGAGGAGGAAGGTACCGATACCAGTACCCCCCCCTTGCCTCGTTTTATCCTTTTGGGGCAGATCGTCGCCACCGCTGGATTCGCTGGGAAGTTCTGGCCAGAACGCGCCCGGGGAGGGGTCCTGGGCGCAGTGGTACCTGTATTCTCTTGCACAGCTGTGCTCTAGAGCTCGGAACTCTTCATGTTCGTTCGTCGTCGTCGCTCGTTCGTCCGTAGGTCGTCTTTCCCCTCCTGGCCACAGAAGGAACCTCCTGGAGGAAGGAGGCGAACGCCTCCTGTCCCTTGCAGCTCCGTGGTGCAAGTGCCAGGGCGCGCGTGCCACTTGTTATTTCTTGTCCTCCCCCATCCCCCCCGAACCCAACGCCGAGGTCGCCGACGAGATGCTCCCTGCGGTCAGGAAGTTTGCTTCCTCAGACTGCGGCCCTCGGGCCCCTCTCTCGGGCCCCGGGGCCAGCAGACGCGGCTCCACGGCGCAAGCCTATACCCTCAGGGACGGGGGCCGGGAGCTCCCAGGGCCGCGGATCGACAAAGCTCGGGTGGAGCCACGAAGGGGTGGAGCAATACACAGTTGTTCGGAGGCAGCTCCTGGGAGGTCAAGTTCTGATTTTGCCCTGGTCCGAAATCCGGCTTCATGCAGCTTGATCTGGCTCGATCCGGCTTAATCCCGCTTCATCCGGGTCAATCCCGCTGAACCCCGTTTGCTCCAGCTTGATCTTTCTGGACGCCCGACATGGGTACCGAAAGAATGGGTACGATGCCCAACAGCAGTTCCTGAACAGGACTCGCTGTCCGCGCCGCCGCGGCCTGTGTTCATTTGAGACAGAAGGCCGCCTGCCCAACAGCGGCCGCTGTTGGTTCGGGACAACATTTGTTGTTGGGCATGTTGCCTCTTCTTTCGGTACCCATTTCGGGTGTCCAAAATCTTGCTCCGTCCGAGGCCCCCTCCGGCGTCACAGCTCCCGACTGGGGCTTACTCCTCCGTGCTCTTTCCGACGAAAGCCTCCCGGCAGTTGCCTCCTGACATCTGCAATGCTTGGGAACCCCCAAACCGGGTGGTGAGATACCGGGTGGCGACCTGGAATCCCCAGAAAGGTCACCGCTGGGTTTGGGGACGCGGGGTCACCACCGGGTTTTGTAACTCCTGGACCCACCAGGTGTCCAGGACATCCTCGGAAAACCGCACGAGTCCCCGAACCGGGTGGTGACACCAGATCGCCCGAGACTCACCGCCAGGTGTTGTCACCACCACGTTTGGGGACTGCCAAAATGCACTCGCCCCGAATCTGTGGCGCCGCCCCCGCTCGGCCGGAGCCCCTTCGGGGCCGCCCCCGAAGAGAGCCCGCCGCGGGCGGAGTTTTCGGGGCGCGTCCGGCGCCTCGGCGTGAGGCGCCGGGGCGGCGGGCCTCGCGCCGCGGCGCCTGGCCTCCAGGAGGTGGGCCTGGAGGAGGAGGAGGAGGAGGAGGAGGAGGAGGAGGAGGAGGAGGAGGAAGAAGGAGGAGGAGGAGGAGAAGGAGGAGGAGGAGGAGAAGGAGGAGGAGGAGGAGAAGGAGAAGGAGGAGGAGGAGGAGGAGGAGGGGTCGCGTCGCGCCTGGGCGGGGCCCGCGGGGCCGCCCAAGATTGGGCCGGACGAAAGGGGGCGATCGGGAAAGGGGGGTACGAAATTTGCTGCGTGCAGCCGGGTTCGGCCTCACCGAGGGGCCCATTCCTCGATGCGTGGCCGCCTCCGGCGCCAGGAGGCGCCGGGAGAAGCAGCTGCGTGAGCCGCTTCTCAAAGCCCCCTCCTTTGCTATATCCCCCCCTTTCGCCCGACCCGACAAGAGCAGAGGGAGGGCGAAAGGCTTGGTATCGCTCGGACGTGTGCATTGTTCTTTCGGCGAGGACCCTCGAGGAGCATCCTTGATCATTTGGCAAAAAAAGCAACGCACGAAACCGAAAAAAACTCAGAGATTGGACGTCCGAGCGATGGCCAGGAGGAGGGCGAGGCGAGGCGGCAGGCGACGGCTCTCTCGGGGGGGCCGCCTCGTCGCCGGGGCTGGGCGCAAAGCTGCGGGGGAACGGGGGCGTGCGGGCCCCGGCCAGGGGCCGTTAGGCCCGCGCTTCGGGTTGCCCTCCTCCTCCTCCTCCTCCTCCTCCTCCTCCTCGTCCTCCTCCTCCTCCTCCTCCTCCTCCTCCTCCTCCTCCTCCTCCTCCCTCTCGCCGTCTCGATCTTCGAGGCGGGAACTTTGTTACACAGGACCACCGCCTGATCAGGAGCGAGAGAAGGACGTGCACGTACACGAGTCAGCGCTGGTTTCGAGAGCACGCCTTGCCGCTGTCTCAATCTTCGAGGCGGGAACTTATACACATGGCCACCGCCTGATCAGGAGCGAGAGAAGGACGTACAAGTACATGGATCTGCGCTGGTTTCGAGAGTACGCATTTGGCCCGAGTGTTCGTGTCACGCGGCCAGTCTCGCGGATCGAGGGGCCGTGTTCGTGTACATCTGTGGGCGCGTACGTCCTTTGTCGGATCCCTAGCCTGGAGGCTAAATTCTCGGGGGCCTCGGCAGGCGGTGGATATGGATAGATTCGGGCCCCCGGGGGGCCAAACTATGTCCACATCCACCGCCCGCTGGGGCACCAGGACGTCGGCGCCGAGGCGGTGGATGTGGAGAATCCCCGCCTCGCACCGTCATACCGTTATATTTCCCTGCTCCGATCAAAGGCCGGCTCGGGAGGAGCAGCCTGCTGTTTTGGGGGAGGTGGCCCAGAGCTCCCCGGGCCCGCGCCTCGAAGCCGTCGCGGCGCTGGAGGCTCGGGGAGGGTGACCCGAGGGAGAGGGGCCCCAGCGAGGGAGAGAGCCTCCATGTGCGGCCGCGGGGGGGGGCGCTCCCCGAGGCCCCGCCATGTGGGCCGCCCAGGAGGGGCTCGGGACGGAGGGCTGGTCGCCCCGCGGGGTCCCAGGCGCCGCCTCCCTCGGGGCGCCCGCGCGTCTGCTCTCCCTCGGCGCCGAGAGGAACTTGGCGAGCCTGCCCCGCATCGCGACCCGCGCGTGCCCTGCCCCCCCCCCCCCCGCCCCGCCCGCCGAAACACGCCTTTTTTGGTTCGACCATGCGGACACGGTGCCCCCCGCGGCCGAGAAGAGAGGGGGGGGAGGAGGAGGAGGGGGAGGGGGAGGGAGAGGAAGGAGGGGAGGGGGAGGGGGAGGAGGAGGAGGAGGAGGAGGCGAGGAGGAGGAGGAGGAGCCCCCGGTGGATGATTCCTGGGCCGCGGGGGGAGGGGCTGATATGAGGCCAGGACGAGCACGATTTCAGGTAAGGATACTCGGGCGACGAAATCGATACATACAGTGGAAGCCCATGCCAAGAAACACCCTGCTTGCCGCAACGGTGCCCTGGGTTTCTTGGAATTCGATGGTTTTGCTGTGGGGAGCGTGACGCTCCCTCGCCAAACATCGATGGACGTCTTGGGGTCTCAGGATTGGGTTTCTTGTGGAAGGTTTCTTCTGGACTTGACTGTACTCCGCTGGATTATTCCTGGGCCGGGGGGGGAGGGGCTAAGAATAGGCCAGGACGAGGATGATTTCGTGTGAGGAGAACCTCGGGCGACGAAACCCATACATAGCCACTGCTCCCCGGCCAGGTCCATCCTGAGCCGAGGAGCTGTGCATACGCCCTTCTGGCCAGGCCAGGAGGGCGTGCCGTAGACACCGCTGCTGGATTCAGGATGGACTTGGCCAGGGAGCACTGGGCATGTATAGGTTTCGTCGCCCTAGATCGGGAATCTCTGAGATCCAGCGGCTCTGGAGGATGTATCCAGCGCCGCGGCCTTCTCAGAGCGTTCCGGAACGCTCTGAGAGCGTTCCGAAACGCTCTGGAACTGATTTATCCTCGTCCCAGCCCCGTCCTAAGAGTGGCAGTGTATAAACCGCCACTCGGAGCCAGCGCGTTTGCGTCAGTATACACCGCCACCCTCCCCGAAGGCACAGGGAAGACTCGTCGGCGGGTGTCTCGGCCCCCGTGCCCCTCTCTGCAAGCATGTCCGTTCCTTTGTCATGCTGTTGCTCTTCGCCCCCCTTAGAGGGTCGAGGCCCACGCTAGCAGGGGGGGGGTCCAGCGCCGATCCGAGAGCTCTGCGCGGAGCTCCGACAGGTCATGTTCGTGCGGTGTTTGGCTTCCTGTGCATTCGCCCCCCGGGGAGCGTCGAGGCCCGCTCCAGCAGCTGTTAGCTCGGCGAGAGAGCCCCCTTCCTTCGCAGCAGCGGTGCCAGAGCCCCCAGCGGCCTCGCGTGCTGCGCTCGCGCTCGGGAGCCGACTCGGCGGAATTGCGGCGGACTCTTCGGGATTGCGGCGGCGAACAAGGAAAGGTCACACCACCACCACCACCACCACCACCACCACCAGAGACCACAAGCGGGAGGAGCAAGGGGGGGGGGGCTCGAGACGTCCCCTATATCTCCAGCTCGTGGTGGCATCCCGGGCCTCCTCGCTGGAGGTGTCTCCCCGTGGTGGCGGTGGTGGTGGTGGGGGGGGCGCGCCGCCCTCCCCTGATGTGGTGCGGCCTGCCCTGCGAGTGCGGCCCTGCCCTCCGGGAGCGCGGCGCCGCAAGAAGGGGGCGCCGCTGGAGGTTCTTCATGTTTCATCCTCGAAGAAGGGCTTAGGCGACCCGTGCCTCCTCCTCCTCCTCCTGCCTCCTCTCCTTATCCTCCTCCTCCTCCTTCTATCTCCTTCCTCCTCCTCCTCCTCCGCCTCTCTCCCTCCTACTCTCCTCCCCCTCCTCCGTCCTCCGCACTCCGCCTCCTCCTCTTCCCTCTCCTCCTCCTCGATCTTCCTCACTCCTCTCGCTCCTCCTCCTCCACCGTCCTCCTCCGACCTCCTCTCCTTCTCCTCCACCTCCTCCGTCCTCCTCCTCCTCCTCCTCTCCTCTGCTCCGCTCCTCCTCCTCCTTCCTCCACCTCCTCCTCCTTCCTCCTTGCTCCATCCTCCTCCTCTTCTCCGACCTCCTCCTCCTGCCTCCTTCCGCCGACTCCTCCCTCCTCCTCCTCCTCCTCCCCTCACCCATCCCCCTCCTCCTCCTCCTCCTCTTCCTCGTCCTCCTCCTCCTACCTCCCCTCCTCCTCCTCCTCCTCCTCCTCCTCCTCCTCCTCCTCCTCTTCCTTTTTCACTTCCTCCTCTCCCCTCCTCCTCCTCCTCCTCCTCCGTCTCCTCCTCCTCCTCCTCCTCCTCCTCCTCCTCCTCCTCCCCTCTCCTCCTCTTCCTTCTCCTCCTCCTCCTCCTCCGCCTCCTCCTCCTCCTCCTCCTCCTCCTCCTCCTCCTCCTCCTACTCCTCCTCCTCCTCCTCCGCCTCCGCCTATGCATCATCGGTTCGCCCACGGCCCCAGGGGAAACCGTGGAAGCGCCGCCGACGGGCGTCGGGGCGCGGGAGCGCAGCGAGAGGCCACGCCTCGAGGCTCTCTGGGCCAGCGCACGCAAGGAGCCGCTCCGACTGGCAGGGGCGCTGCCACACACAGCGGAGGCCCATGCCAAGAGGCACCCTGCTCGCCTCCGGGTTGCCCCCGGTTTCTTGGGTTTCGGTGGTTGTGATCTGCGGAGCGTGGCGTGCCCACGCCACACATCGATGGACGTACTGGGGTCTCAGGGTTGGGTTTCTCGTGGAGGGTGTCTTGTGGACTGGCCTCCCTTGTACTTCCGCGAGTCGGGGCAGAAGTCACGACGAGTGGATTGCTTGCCTGTTGCGGCCTCCCAGGGCCCTTATTATAAGGAGGCCTCGGGAGACCGTTGAGAGCCCACTCGAATCATGAAACGCCGCGCAGGAAAATCGCGCAGTTGGGGGTCTGGGCGCGAGTCGCCATCCCTCCTCCCCCTCCTACCGTCGCGGGCGGGCTTGTCTCCCTCCTCCCCCTCCTCCCCCTCCTACCGTCGCGGATGCCCGCGCGGAGCCTCCTCCTCCTTCTCCTCCTCCTCCTCTTCCTCCTCCTCCTCCTCCACCACCTCCTCCTCCTCCTCCTCCTCCTCCACATCCTCCTCCTCCTCCTCCTCCTCCTCCTGCCTCCTGCCTCCTCCCCCGTATCCACGGCCTCGCGGTCCATACTCCTGGACCGCGGGCCCCTTGCGGGCGGCTCTGCACGGATGCCCCGCGCGGAGCGCATCGATGGGATCGCTCAATTCGTGGGTGAGGGGAACGCCTTACCAGCCTGGAACATATCCCTATCCCTATGCTGGGCACCTCCTCATCACGATGCCAATCTTAGGGTTTCCCTTATTTTTGAGGGCGAATCCCTAAGATTGTCATCGCCTTTTGGCGTGTCCATCTTAGGGATAGGGATACGTTCGAGGCTGGTAAACGCCCCTCCCCCTCCGCCGGGGCCCTGGGAACCAGGACGTCGCAAGCACTTTCGAGACGAGAAGGAGCAGAGTTGTGAAGAGCCCGGCCCCACACACGACCATCCTTTTCAACTGATTCAAGACAGGAAACGGATACAAGTCGAATACGAAAGCGAGATACGATTTCAACACAGTTCCGATACGCACGAAATATGCGCAGTACGATTCCAACACGATTCCGATGCGATTCCAATACGCTTCCGGTACGAATTCAAAGCGAATCCCATATGCACGATCCGATTCCAATACGATGGCAATACGATTCCGATACGATCCGGCCCGATACAGTTTTCTTTCTTCCCTATCTACTCCCAGTTCTTTCCCCATCTGCCCTCGCCTTCCCCCTCTCCAGCTTTGCCTCTCCCTCTCTCTCTATCCCTCTTTCTCTTTCTCTCTGTATATGTATATACACACGGCGCTATCTGTTTTACAGTTAAACATCAAATCATCCCCCTCCTCCCCTTATCTAGTGACTCTAATGACTACGTAATGGAACTCCCCATCTCTCCTTCTCCCCCTTTTTATATTCATCAACCTCCCTCCTCCTCTAGTCTCTTCTCTTCTCTCTTCTTCTCCCACCTCCCCTTCTCTGCCCAACCTCGGGATGGGCCGAAAGCCGGAAGGAAGTTCGATTCCCGAGCCTCCCACTCGTTGCCGGCTCGCCAAGGCCACCTCCAGGGCAGTGACGGTTGATCAGAGCCCCGAATCATCAGGGGTAACTCGGGTCAGGGCTAACTCGGGTTCGTTTTTCGGGAATCCGAACCCGACTTACCCCGGACCCGAGTTACCCCGGATAATTCGGGCGTCCAGAGCCCCACATCATCAGGGGTAACTCGGGTCAGAGCTAACTCGGGTTCCTTTTTTCGGGAATCCAAACCCGAGTTACCCCGGACCCGAGTTACCCCGGATAACTCGGGCGCCCAAGTTGAGAGGAACTCCTGGGCCATCTTCGTCGTGCGGATGGCCATGTGCCAATCGAGTTTAAGCACAGTGGCTGCGGACGGAGATCGGCGGCGAGCCTATAAGGAGGGCGCGAGAAAGGGGCGAGCCTTCCCGGAAGGCGTCGGGTCTTCTGAGGAGCTCCAAGAGGGCCCCAAGGGGGCCCCAACAACATTGCACGATCGTGCAAGGCTGCAGCATACTCTTGGGCCCCTCATGGGGCCCTCTCTCGGAGCCCGCTTTTGGGCCCTCTCCGGGCCCGATCGGAGCCCTCTCAGGGGCCCAGGACTGCCCCAGGAAGGCCCACAGAGAGGGGCCCGAGATGTGCCCAGGAGGGAGAGCATTTCTCGGAAGGATGCCTCCGTCCTCCCCCATCCCTCTGAGGCGCGCGTCTCTCCTCCCTCCTCCCTCCCTCCGCCCCCTCACTCTTATCCGCATCTGCGGGCCGGCAGAGACAGCAACGCCGTGGAGCATGTCTCCTCGATCCCAGAACTTCTTCCCCCCCCCTCTGCTCTGCCTCGATCCTCGAACCTCCTCGATCCTCCTTGATCCTCGACCCTTCCCTCGATCCTCGATCCTCGATCCTCCTCGATCCTCGACCAAGTTGGAGGAATGAGCTCTGTAAGCCACCTGCGCCAAGGGGCCCAGAGGGCCGGCGGAATTTCGCGGCTCAGGGGGCCGTCAGGGCGGCCCCAGGGTGGTTCCGAGACTGACCTCGGGAACTCCAGACTTACAGCTTCCCTATTGGCCTGTGGCAAGATAAGGATAAGTAGCCAATGTGTTGTTTATCTTACTGTGGTTCTAACCAATCCATAGATCACCTCACCGTGAATCGAACCAAACTGAAGGACGCGTCTGCTGAGCATTCCGCCATGTCCCACGACAGCCGCTACGACTTCCATCATGTCTTGGCAAGCCTAAACAAGCCTTGATCTGGCCTCCACAGAAGAATCCGTCGAAAGCCGAATCTAGACAGAAGGTCCCGCCTGGAGCTGAGGAGGAGGAGGAGGAGGAGGAGGAGGAGGAGGAGGAGGCGGAGGAGGAGAGGAGGAGGAGGAGGAGGAGGAGGAGGAGGGGGCCCTCCTGGGGCCCTCTCCGCGGGCTCGAGGGGGCCTGGCGGGGGCTCCGCGAGGAGGCCCCCCTGCAGGCACTCCTGGGGCCCCCCAGGTCGGCGCGCCGCGCCCCCCGGGGGCCAGAGCTCGGCGCGGGCCTCCCAGCAGTGCTCCCTGCCCCCTCCTCCCCCTCCCCCCATCCTCCTCCTCCTCCTCCTCCTCCTCCTCCTCCTCCTCCTCCTCCTCCTCGCTCCTCCTCCCCTCCTCCTCCTCCTCCTCCTCCTCCTCCTCCTCCTCATCTTCCTCCTCCTCCTCCTCCCCCAGCGACTCGGGAGCTCGGGGGGCCTGCGGGGGGGCGCTCTCCCCCCTGGTGATGGCCGTGGCGGGGGAGGGCCTGCGGGGGCGCGCTCCCCGGTGCTTCGCGCCTCGGGAGTAGAAAAATCTGGATGCACGTGCGAAGCGTCTGCAGATGTGTCCATATGTGCTGCTCGGATGCGTGTCCAAGAGGTCTCGGATACAATCGTCGCAGGCGATTTCTCTCCCCCAATCCCCGACTTCCGCCAGAAAAGTTTGGTCGCTCAGAAAAGGGGAGGAATCTTGGGATACATCCCGAGGGGGCTATTCGGACGCACCCCTGTCGAGGATTGACGCCCCCCCCTCGTATATCCCAGGGTTGGGCCCCAAATTGTTGATCCATTCGGAAACCCCACGAAGCCTGGGATAGGGGTCGACATATCCCCTGTTAAATCGTACTGGTTGAGCAGGTTTTGCATGTGCCCATGCACCGATCTAGTATCTGAGCGTTTTCAACCGCGCTTGCAAGCGCGTCCTGACGGTATTTCGATGCGTCTGCAGAGCTTCCCTGGCCTGGCGGAGTGTCGTATCGATTTCGCATTTCGTGTCGAATGCAAACGCATTTTCGGAGGTCGCGCTGGGTTCCCAAAGGCGGGCCCCCGCAAGTCCTGTTTGCCAATCACGCCCGAGCTGGCGTCGCAGCCGTCCTGCCACTCAGGCGCCAGGCGCCAGGCTCCAGTCGGACATCTGAGCCAGGAAAGCCTGGGCGAGGAGAAGGGGAGAGGGGGGGAGGGGAGTGAGGAAGAGGAGGGAGGAAGAGACTCCTGGGAGGGCCCCCCAAGTGATCATGTTGGGTTCCCTCTGAAAATTCAAAACACTGCCAGTTAGCCCTCTCGGGCGCGAGGGTATAGGGAGCTAGCTGTAGGGTCTACAGGGAGAATCCGCCACCGTGCCACGAGGCACGATTGGAGTGCCCTCAGGTCCTCAAATGTTCTCTGTTCTCTGTTCTCTGTTCTCTGTATGATAATAGCACAAGGGCCGAAGGCCCAGATTCACAAATCTTCTGGGCGCTGCTGAGCGCTCTCTGGCTGCGTCGCATAGGTTTACGAGCGGCCAGAGGGCCCCAGGACGGGCAAGAGGGGTCCGATGGGTCCGAAAGAGGCCTGCAAGATGGCCCAAGAACGCTGCAGGACGCCCAATATGGTCCCAAGACGACCCAAGAGGCTTTCAAGAGGCCCCAAGAGCGCTCCAAGAGGATCCCCAGGAGGGCCCCGAGAGGCCAAACTTTTCAATTCAACGCAAATTTTTGAAGGATGGTGGCCTTCTCGCTTTTCGGCTTCCCGGCGCTCCACGACGGCTCAGGAGGCTTCCGAGACCGTGCCCAGACAGCCCCGGACCGCGGAGGCCTCCAAGAGGGCCCCAAGACGGCCCTGGAGGCGGGCCGCGCTCGGCGGCGGCGCCCCGGCCCGAAGCATGGCCCTGCCCCGCCGGAGCTCCTCCGCGGCGGCTGCCGGGGGCTCGGCGAGGGCGGCCGAGCCGGGCGGCGCGGCCGCCGGGCGCGGGGCCCGCAGCGCGCCGCCCGGGCGCGGCGCCAAGGGGGCGGGGCGCCGAGGCCCGGGGCGTGGGGGCGGGCGGCTCGCCGCTGCCGGCCCTCTGGCCGCAGGAGATGCCAGGGCCGTCGAGGGCGGACCCCTCCGGCACGCTCGGCCAGGCGGCGCCGCGGCGCCCCGTCCGCGGGGGCCGAGGCCGAGGAGCGCCACGCCGAGGGCGGTGGCCCACCGGCCGGCGGAGGTGCCCCCCAGCGCCGGGGGCGGCTCCAAGGTCAGCGCCCTCAGCACCGAGCCGAACACCGTGGGCACCTGCAGCCGCGGCGACCCCAGCCCCGCGGGCAGCTCGCTGTCCGCCCGCAGCAGCCTGCCAGGCGCGGAGCGCGGCGGTGCGGCGCAGGGCGGCCCGCGGAGCGGCCTCGCGCCGGGCCAGCGCGCCCACAACGGCAGCAGGCGCGCGTGCCGGGCCCAGGACGCAGGCGTGGTGGACTGCTTCCTGGTGCTGGCGGAGGCAGCCGACGCGTCGGGCCAGTCCGTGCTGCTGCTGCTGCGCACGCTGCGCTTCCTGCGTTCCTGCCAGTACTCTGAGGAGGACATCTGCCTGATGCTCGCGCACGCCAGTATCTATTTCCCAGACACGTGCTCGGCCACAGAGCACCGCATTACTTCGAACGAGATGGGCAACGTCCTAGCTAGCCTCATCTTCCTGGCGCATTGCTGGGTCGAGGATGAGACTTGCCCTCTTCGGATTTGGCACCAACACCTTTTCGCGCAGTACTGCAGCCTGGGCACGCTCAGCTCGGCCGTCTTGCGTCTCATGGAGTTGCGCGGCTACATCCTGAGGTTGAGCAGCGAGGTGGTTGAGCGCCGGACGCATGCGCTCCTGGCCGCCCGCGAGGCCGCGGCGCGCGCCTGCACGCCCGTCCCGCGCCCGCTGCTGGCGCGCTCTGGCTACATCGGCACACACTGGCAGGGCAGCACCTTCCTGCGGCGCGGCCTGGACACCATCCTGGACACCTGCGTGTCGCGGGCGAGGACGGACGACGGGTGAAGGTGGTGGTGCCGAATATTTTGCGCCTTCTCTCGCAACGCGGGCAACGAATATGCTATATACGAACATATTGTATCTCGCTCCGCATAGTTGCTTTGCTTATGTCGCTCCTCGGGTATATGCCCGCCTCCTCCTCCTCCTCCTCTTCCTCCACCTCCTCCTGGATTGTCTGCCTCCCTGCTGCACGAAGGCTGCTGCCTGCGTACCTCGGACCACCAGTTTCAGACATGCACGAGCAGTAGGAGGAGAGGGATGAAGGAGGAGGTGGAGGAGGAGGAGGACACTGTGACTGCTGTACCAGCATTTGCATGGTGCCTTGGTGTGTCTAGTGTGTATCGCTTTATTTTACCCGTCAATTTTGTGCAGAGAGCCGTGCAGAGGCAGTGCAGATGTTTGCCGCCGTCCAGTAAGCAGAGCCTTGATCGCGCTAGTAATCTTTCGAGTATCTCCCGAGCTTCATTGCAGACCGCTCCGCGCTATCTCAATGTGGCTCGCAGCTTCCGGCCTTGGCGTCGTGGGTACCGCGCGCCTCAGGCCTTTGGCATTCAAGCGTTAGTGCTGGCCACGGCCTCATGGGGCGCTGTCATTCCGATTGGCCACTTTCGCTCACCGCTTCCCATCTCCTCCCTTCCCCGTGCCACTGCCATCGCGGGAAGAAAGAATTTATCACTACCGTATTCAAGGTTTGGCCGCGGCAGACCAGAGTTGGCTTGTAGACGCGTTGCTTGCACTGTGCAGGCAGGAGGCCGTAAGGGCCAAGTAATTACGTATTCAAGTTTCGTCCTTGGAGACGGCTGGCGGACGTGCCCCCCAGCGCCGAGGGCGGCTCCAAGGTCAGCGCCCTCAGCACCGAGCCGAACACCGTGGGCACCTGCAGCCGCGGCGACCCCAGCCCCGCGGGCAGCTCGCTGTCCGCCCGCAGCAGCCTGCCAGGCGCGGAGCGCGGCGGTGCGGCGCAGGGCGGCCCGCGGAGCGGCCTCGCGCCGGGCCAGCGCGCCCACAACGGCAGCAGGCGCGCGTGCCGGGCCCAGGACGCAGGCGTGGTGGACTGCTTCTTCCTGGTGCTGGCGGAGGCAGCCGACGCGTCGGGCGAGTCCGTGCTGCTGCTGCTGCGCACGCTGCGCTTCCTGCGTTCCTGCCAGTACTCTGAGGAGGACATCTGCCTGATGCTCGCGCACGCCAGTATCTATTTCCCAGACACGTGCTCGGCCACAGAGCACCGCATTACTTCGAACGAGATGGGCAACGTCCTAGCTAGCGTCATCTTCCTGGCGCATTGCTGGGTCGAGGATGAGACTTGCCCTCTTCGGATTTGGCACCAACACCTTTTCGCGCAGTACTGCAGCCTGGGCACGCTCAGCTCGGCCGTCTTGCGTCTCATGGAGTTGCGCGGCTACATCCTGAGGTTGAGCAGCGAGGTGGTTGAGCGCCGGACGCATGCGCTCCTGGCCGCCCGCGAGGCCGCGGCGCGCGCCTGCACGCCCGTCCCGCGCCCGCTGCTGGCGCGCTCTGGCTACATCGGCACACACTGGCAGGGCAGCACCTTCCTGCGGCGCGGCCTGGACACCATCCTGGACACCTGCGTGTCGCGGGCGAGGACGGACGACGGGTGAAGGTGGTGGTGCCGAATATTTTGCGCCTTCTCTCGCAACGCGGGCAACGAATATGCTATATACGAACATATTGTATCTCGCTCCGCATAGTTGCTTTGCTTATGTCGCTCCTCGGGTATGTGCCCGCCTCCTCCTCCTCTTTCTCTTCCTCCACCTCCTCCTGGATTGTCTGCCTCCCTGCTGCACGAAGGCTGCTGCCTGCGTACCTCGGACCACCAGTTTCAGACATGCACGAGCAGTAGGAGGAGAGGGATGAAGGAGGAGATGGAGGAGGAGGAGGAAGACACTGTGACTGCTGTACCAGCATTTGCATGGTGCCTTGGTGTGTCTAGTGTGTATCGCTTTATTTTACCCGTCAATTTTGTGCAGAGAGCCGTGCAGAGGCAGTGCAGATGTTTGCCGCCGTCCAGTAAGCAGAGCCTTGATCGCGCTAGTAATCTTCCGAGTATCTCTCGAGTTTCATTGCAGACCGCTCCGCGCTATCTCAATGTGGCTCGCAGCTTCCGGCCTTGGCGTCGTGGGTACCGCGCGCCTCAGGCCTTTGGCATTCAAGCGTAGGTGCTGGCCACGGCCTCATGGGGCACTGTCATTCCGACTGGCCACTTTCGCTCACCGCTTCCCAGTGCCACTGCCATCGCGGGAAAAATTAATCATCACAACCGTATTCAAGGTTTGGCCGCGGCTATCCAGAGTTGGCTTGCTTTTCCCACAAGTAGACGCGTTGCTTGAATTCTGCAGGCAGGAGGCCGTAAGGGCCAAGTAATTACGTATTCAGATTCGTCCTTGGAGACGTGCATATGTCGGAACGCGGTGCGCAGCAGGAGGATGGGGGGGGAGGATGAGGAGGAGCTGGTGTCGGGACAGAACCAACCACGCGCGTCCGCTAGGCATCTGTCTCGCGAGTGCTTTGCGTATCTGGAGGCTTTTCAGCCCAATAGATTTCTTTGCTTTAGATGCTGTGTGACACTTCGTCGGAGGGTTGGTCCGACGTTGCCTCATCAGCCAGGCTACTGCTGCTACTGCATCTCGCCTTGCCTTTGCGCAAAACAGAAGTGGGACCACTTCGTCTTCTAGGCCGGCGGGTTCAGAAGCCATGGGGCGTCGCGACAAACTCGCGTGAGGTATCCGTGATATGCCAGTACCAAGTTTTGCCAGGCCTCAGACCATGTGCAGGCGTCAGCGACCGTTGATCGTTGATCATCGCGGCTACTGCCCCGAGGAGGTTTTTTTTGTGCCACCCATGCCATGCGCTTTGTCGCCACAAGCCACAACGTTGGCTTGCTAGTAGTATGACTTCGGGACGTTTGGAGCGGCATCCTTTCAATGACGCCCAAGCCCAACGATGTTGTTTTTGCTGGTACGCCGCCCCCCGCCCAAAACAAACAAAAAACAAAACGCTCCTTGCCTGGGTAGCTGCAGCTTCGCTGGCGATGTTTGGAGGGTGTCGTCAGCCATGCACAGCGTCCTGAAGGCGAGGGCGCGAGGGATCTCGAAGGGTCGGGTCGGAGAGGAGCAGCTGAATCTTTTGCTCTGGCTTATTTTTCTAGCGCCTGCGTGCCAGGCATCTGCTTTAGGGCCTGCTTGTGCAGTTGGCGCACTCATACGAGGTGGCACGACAGAAACGGCCCAAGAGGCGGTCAAGACGACCCAACGGGGGCCCCAAGACGATCCCAGGAGGGGCCCCCCGGTGGCCATCTTGGGAATCTTGGAGCGCCCTTGGGCCGTCTCGGAGGCCCCTCTGGGGCCCTCTCGGGCGCTTCTCGAGAGAGCCCTGGGGCCCTCCTGATTTCCTGGCCGCTCGACAAAACCTCTGCGAGTCGGCCCAGAAGCGCCCGGCACAGCGCCCGGCAGAGTTGGGAGTCTGGGCTTCCTCGGGGGCGGCAAGGATGGGGGTGATGACAGGGGGGGGGTGGATCTCATGGCGTGGGCCATGATATTTCCCCAGATCTCATGGCGGCTCCTCTCATTCCACTACGTCCCTGGCCCCCCCCCCTTGGGCCGCGCACACGCCGCCGGTCCTGAGTTGCACCCCCCCTCTTGGACACCCCCCTCTTGGCCGCCGCCGATTTCGGCCCCACCAGGTTAGAATTCCGAGGGCACAGAACCGAGAACGCGTGATGACCTGAGGACACTCCAACTGTGCCGCGCGGCACGGTGGCGTATATGATCATCGCAGCTATGCTGTATATGGGTATAGACGTGCATCATTCGATCCCTGAAATCATACCATTGTAATCGTGATCGCATGTATGGTGAATTCCTGTTGCATTCAACGCCGTTTGCAAAGTGCATCTTCGGTGTATCGTAATAGTATCTACAAGCGTTTGACGCTCGAGGCTCCGGCGCATCGTGCTAATATCTACATACGTTTGCGTCGCGAGGCTCCGGTTCATCGTGCAAATATCTACGTAGGCTGCATCACCAGGCGTGTTCGGAAGTTGTGTCGATTCTGTATCGTTCCGGTATCTGGGACAATTTGCACATACGAGCTTGTGTGGGCCATGGGCCCAACACAAGAGTTACGTCCGGCGTGTCCCCCTACAGGGGGATTGTCGACGAAAAATAAAACATACCCCCAAAATAGTCAAACAATGGTCCCAAAACAGTCTGGGGACTATTTTTAGAGCACTTTTTTGCAATCTGGGGATTTTTTTGGGGGTCTTCTTGATTTTTCGTCGAAGCTCCCCCTGCAGGGGGACAGGCAGGGGAACAATTACGGAACACCCCCCTTCCCCCCCAAACTTCGGGGGTGGACAGAACCCCCAACAGTGACACGTCGATTAGTGAATTGTCCGTTTTCGGTTCTCGAGAGGGCGCCGTGGCCGCTATTTTCCAGGCTTGCGCCCGCCAGGTTTGGGCCCGAAGTCGTTTTCACTAAACCACGTTTTACTAAAGGGGGGTCTGTCCTCCCCCCCAAACTCCATGTTGGCACGCGCGGGGGAGACGGCGGTCGAAGTGCATCCCGTCAGACCCACCGCCAACTTTGAACACTGGGGGGGGGAGGAGGAGGAGGAGGAGGAGGAGGAGGAGGAGGAGGAGGAGGAGGAGGAGGAGGAGGAGGAGGAGGAGGAGGAGGAGGAGGAGGAGGAGGAGGAGGAGGAGGAGGCGGAGGAGGAGGAGGAGGGAGTGAGGAGGGGAGTAGGAGTCGGAGGAGGAGGCGGAGGAGGAGGAGGTAGGAGGAGGAGGAGGAGGAGGAGGAGGAGGCGAGGAGGAGGATGAGGAGGAGGAGGAGGAGGAGGAGGAGGAGGAGGAGGAGGAGGAGGAGGAGGAGGAGAGTGAGGAGGAGGAGGCGGAGGAGGAGGAGGAGGATGGAAGAGGAGGGGGAAGGAGGAGGGAGGAGAGGAGGAGGAGGAGGAGGAGGAGAGGAGGAGGAGGAGGAGGAGGAGAGGAGGAGGAGGAGGAGGAGGAGGAGGAGGAGGAGGAGGAGGAGGAGGAGGAGGAGGAGGAGGAGGAGGAGGAGGAGGAGGAGGAGGAGGAGGAGGAGGAGCGGAGGAGGAGGAGGGAAGGAGGAGGAGGAGGAGGAGGGAGGAGGAGGAGGAGGAGGAGAGAGGAGGAGGAGGAGGAGGAGGGGAGGAGGAGGAGGGAGGAAAAGGAGGGGGAGAAGGAGGAGGAGGAGGAGGAGGAGGAGGAGAAGGAGGAGGAGGATGAATGTGGCATGAGTGTTCGCTAATTATTGTTCCGAGGCCTGGAGGTCTCGACCCCTTTCAGGGAGGAAAAGACGCACACAGACACAATGAATCGCCGATCCCCCAGAAAGTATGGGAAATTATGGGAGGGGGAGGGGAAAGACAGCAACCCAGAGAATATGGGAAACTATAGGGGAATCGTTTCAGTTGTGTGCATTTAGTGTGTGTCCTGGGGCCCCTTCACCCTTCCGTTTCAGTTGTGTGCATTTAGTGTGTGTCCTGGGGCCCCTTCACCCTTCCCCGCGGCCAGCTTCTCGTCCGGGATCGCGTCCTGACGAACCCCGGGCCCGACGGGGGCTGCGGGAGGTTCAGGATTGTCGAAGACCCCACCGAGCGTGCTCCCCTACTCGCACAAAGTGCCCACTCGCTCGGGCGAGGAGAAGTGTGCACATGCACGGATCCCGGCAAGGCCCATCCTTGACCCCGGATCGGTGCACATGCCTTCCTGGCCAAGGCAGGAGGGCGTAGGCCCAGGATGGGCCTGGCCAGAATCGGTGTATGTGCATAGTTCCTTTCCCTCTACTCGCAGACGGCCGAGATATATATATATATATATATATGTATATCGGTGTCCATTTTGTTGTAATTCGTCGCAGATGCCCCGCGGGGGATCCGGGCCATCTGCGAGTAGTTACCTTGCGAGTAGTGGAGCGCGCTCACACAAAGCCGCTCGACGTGATGCCTGCCACATCCTCGAGGAGGACGTGTGGCAGAGCCCCTGCCAGGCCCACAAGCGGCTCCCTGCGTGCGCAGGCGCCGGGCCGGCGCCTCGGGGATTCCTCATGTGCAGCGGGGTGCTGCTGAGTGCTGGGTGCTGCGCTGGAGACGGAGGCTGTCACGTGCCTGGTACTGTGATGCTGGTCCTCGTGCTCCTCCTCCTCGTGCTCCTCCTCCTCGTGCTCCTCCTCCTCGTGCCCAGCACGTTGGAGGCGGACGTTGTTGAGCACTGGGTGCTGTGCCGAGCGCGGAGGCACAGCGCACGGGCGACGGGGGGCGGGGAGGGCGGCGGGGACGGGGGCGCTCCCCCGGGCCCCGGCGCCCGTCGGCGGCGCGCCCTATCGGGCGGCCCGCCCTCCCGGAGTGCACGGGCTGCACGCTCGCGGGGGCCGCCTGGGGCCGGCCGCCCCACGTCGGGGGAGGCGGGGGTGGCAGAGCTCTGGACGCCCGAGATGGGCACGGAAAGAGTGGGTGCACTGCCCAGCAGCAGTGCCTGTCCACTTTGCACAGGACTCGCTGTCCGCGCCGCCGCGGCCCGTGTCCACTCGAGACAGAAGGCCGCCTGCCCAACAGCGGCCGCTGTTGGTTTGGGACAACATTCGTTGTTGGGCATGGTGCCCATTTGTCCGTACCCATTTCGGGCGTCCAAAAGAGCAGGGGGCGAGGACCAGGGGTAAGTCGGGCCTGTCCCTCCACGGAGGGGAAGGTTCAAGAGTAGTCAGAGAACAGTCTGGGGACTGTTTTCTGACCATCTTGGGGTGTTTGGGGGGTCTTTTTCTGGCATTCTTCATTTCTCGCCCGGAATCCCCCTGTAGGGGGACAAGACCGCCCTGAGACTAGGGGGGGGATCTCATGGCGGGGGCCATTATATTTCCTCAGATTTCATGGTGCCTCTCCTTGTTTCATTCCGTCCTTGGCCCCCCCCCCTGGGCCGCGCACATGCCGCCGGCCATGATTTGCGCCCCCCATCTTGGACGAGCCGCGTCGCGGGGCACTTTGGCAGCACGATCAGCCGCCGCAGAACCCAATGGATTTCAGGCTGGCCGCGCACGCGCGCCTTCGCAGACTCGACAGGATGCCTCCCCGAGCTGGGGACAGGGGACGTCTCAAGGGACAGTCGGGCCGGGCGAAAGGGGGGATTGGGAAAGGGGGGGTTACGAAATTTGCTGCATGCAGCTGGTTTCGGCCTCACCGAGGGGCCCATTCCTCGATACATAGCCGCCTCCGGGAATCAGCTACGTGAGCTGATTCTCAACCCCCCCCTTTGCAATCCCCCCCTTTCGCCCGACCCGAGACAGGGGGGGGGGGCACACCACCCGGGCCCCCCCCCTCTTGCTCCTCCCGCTGGTGGTCTTTGCTGGCGGTGGCGGTGGTGTCGCCTTCCCTTGTTCCCGTCACGAAGATAGCTAATGAGGGTATGTAGTTGTCTGCAGCGCGCCTGGCGGTTACCGCCCGACGCTCGTGCAAACGTTCCATGCTTCATCGTTTTTGACCCGATCCCGCGTCGAGTAGCCTCCGTAGAAGGCCTGCGCGCGACTGGCGTGCCGGCCTCCCTTGCGGGCACGCGGGCTTCCTTGCGGCGGCTGCTTCGGTGGTTCGTTCGTTCGTACCAGACTCCGCAGTCCACCAAACCCCATTCTGTTACCAGCCTGGAACATATCCCTATCCCTATGCTGGGCATCTGCTCATCACGATGCCAACCTTAGGGATTCCCTTATTTTTTGAGGGCGCATCCCTAAGATTGTCATCGCCTTTGGGCGTGTCAATCTTAGGGATAGGGATGCGTTCGAGGCTGGTAAACCAAACCCCATTCTATGGAATAACAAAAAAGGGCACCATGAGCATTCCTGCTCTCCTTCTCAACATTTTTTCAGAACGCCTGCGTGGGCAAGCTCGGAGCCTACCCCCCGTTGCGCGCCGTCATTTAGATTCGGGTCGGCGCACGCCTCCGAGAAGGACACGTCGCACTAGGGTGTCGTCTGGGATTCCCAAGCTCCAATCTATATTAGGCGCCTTCCTACTTCAATGGTCGAATGGCTTCACCTCTTCCGTCCTCATGAGGGGACGGGTGGACACCCAATCTATGTACGACGCCTTCCTACTTCATGCTTCCACCTACTTCTCCGAGCGATGCGTACTGCGAGATGGTTGCACTAATATATATATATATATATATATATATATATATGTGTGTATATATATATATATATATATATATTCGGGTCGGGCGCACGCCTCCGAGGAGTACACGTTGTACTAGGATGTGCTTCTGCGTCAGCCCCGCGTGGGCGACGCGCGCGCTCGCTCAGAACTCTCTTTCAGCATGAGCTCTCTCCGTGGCTGGCGGGCGCTCTCCGGCCACTCCGCTCGGGCACTGGCCTGCCATGGTATCAATGTGCTGTACCCATCGGCCGTTGAAAGTAGGTACTTTGGGATTCCCATGTTCCAATCTACTTCAGGCACCTTCCTACTTCAAGGATCGAGTGGCTTCACCTCTCCCGTCCTCCTTAGGGGGTGGGCGGGCACCCAATCTGTGTTCAACGCCTTCCTACTTCATGTTTCTACCTACTTCTTCCGACCGATGAGTAGGGTCAGGTCGGGAAGCGCAGTGGGCGACGTTTCTGTTGGCTTTTTCACGTTCCGCCCTCGAGTCTGCCAAGACGTGGAAGAGCGACGCTCCAGAGAGTGGGCGGCATGCAGGCGGCACTGTGACGTCTGAGGGCATCTTCGAAGCGCAGGGGCACCGGGCAGACGGCCGCGCGCAACCGACAGAAACACATTGTGCAGAGTACGTCCTTCTGCGTCCCATCGGAGTCTTGGTCAGAGCGTGCCCCAGGAGAGGTCCAGGGGGCGGGTTTGAGGCCCGAGCGGCAGGTACCAGTCGGCCGCGCGACGCTACCTGCGGCCGTGGAACGAGTTCGCGCGCATCCGCCCCGGCCGCGTCTTGGAGGGCCTCCGGAACTCCTACCGCCGGGGCGAGGTCCAGATCTACGTGCAGCGGAGCTCAAGTGGGTACGACCGACATGTGTACGGAAAGAATGAGCACGAAGACCGACAGCAGTTCCTGTTGATTTTGTACCGGACTCGCTGTCGGTGTCGCCGCGGACATTGTTCATTCGAGACACGAGGCCGCTCAGCAGCGGCCGCAGTCGGTTTTGGACAACATATGTTGTTGGGCATCGTACCTATGTTTCCCAACTATCCTGTGGCTTTGGTCTTCGTCTTGAAGAGACAGCGCCCCGCCTCACCTCCCGCCCTCCTTCCCCTCCCCCAGTGTTACCGCCCGCGCGCGTCCGCCACACCCAGTACAGCATTTCGTGGCCCCAACAGGAGCTCCACCAAAGGTCCCAGTGCTACCGCCCGCATGCGTCCCCACCACCCACCACTCAGTACAGCGCTTCGTGGCCCCAGAGGGAGCTCCACCGAAGGTCCCAGTGCTACCGCCCGAAGGCGTCCGCCACCATCCAGTACAGCGTTTCGTGGCCCCAGAGGGAGCTCCACCGACGGCCCCAGTGCTACCGCCCGAATGTGTTCCCCCCGCCTGGTAGCATCGCTTCGTGGCCCAGATATGAAGCTCCACTGACGGCCTCAGTGATACCGCCCGCACATGCGTCTCCCCACCCAGTACAGCGCCTCGTGGCCCCACAGGGAGCCCCACCGAAGGCCCCAGCGCTACCGCCCGCATGCGTCCCCCGCATCCAGTGCAGCGCTTCGTTGCTCCAGAAGGGACTCCACCGAAGGTCCCAGTGCTACCGCCCGCATGCGTCTCCCCCACCCAGTACAGCGCTTCGTGGACCCACAGGGAGCTCCACCGAAGGCCCCAGTGGCAACGCCCGCACGCGTCTTCCCCACCCAGTACAGCGCGTCGTAGCTCCACAGGGAGCGCCACCGAAGGCCCCAGTGGCAAAGTTTGCATGCGCCTCCTCCACCCAGCACAGCGTTTCGTAGCCCATAGGGAGCTCCACCGACGGCCCCAGTGGCAACGCCCGCATGCGTCTCCCCCACCCAGTACAGCGCTTCGTGGCCCATCGGGAGCTCCACCGAAGGCCCCAGTGGCAAAGTTCGCATGCGCCTCCTTCACCCA